TGACCACCGAAGGAGAGATTTAACACCATCAATCACTGGCGGCAGTGAGGAAGCAGCTGAATCCACAGTCGCCCCCACTTCACCACCTGTTATGAAATTGAGTGACGATGAGCCCGATGACCCCTGCCCTGTCGCCGAGGGGAGGTACGGTATAGTAAAGTGAAATTCTTATCTCTTTTTTTTAATAGCTTTTCTTGTCATGTTTATTGTTTGTAAAAATGCACAGCACAGTACAGTTCAGTACAAGTACTGTACATAGGAAGTGGAGGTGCAGTTATTCACAAAACATTTGTGTTTGTTGTCGGCAGTAGTGACGGTGTGAAGGGAGCGAATTGGGAGGAGTGGTGAGGTGACCTTGGACGCAGGAGCAGGGACGAGTGGAGATGCCAGCCAGTATATTTCGGGTGTATTAATTGTTTTTATAGCTATTTTTGCATTTTAATATTAAATACTGTACATTACGTTTCAACAAAACTACCATTTATTTCTGAGAACATAGAAATGTAATATTTTTGCTGAAATGATGTACGTATTACAGTGGAAAGTGGGATAAAATTGTGACGCAAGCAATGATTTTCGCTTTCTTTCGTTCAAAAGATGTTGCCGTAATCGCTTTTCGAATGGTTTTCAGTTGTGGGAGTATAAGGCTAATGATAGGATAGAATATTATTGTAATACAGTACGAGTACAACAGTTTTTTAACTGAAAACCATTCGAAAAGCGATTACGGTAAAATCTTTTGAACAACGAAAGAAAGCGAAAGTCATTGTTTTCATAATTTTATCCCACTTTCCACTGTACAGTAATATGTACGTCATTTCAGCCAAAATATTACATTTCCATATTTATTTCTGAGAATATATTCATTCAGTAATATTTTAATGAAAATACGGTATCGTAGTTTTCTTTTGTATCAAATTTAATTAACAAAGATTGATGTTTCAAATGTAATGAACAAAAATTTATGTACAGTATCTATAAATAAACTTTAATAAATGAATACTTTGTTTTACATCGTCCTGTGCATACCATACCATGCATTTGGCTACTTTGGGCTTGCTATGATGACGCAAGAGATCTGCCCTGGCGACTGTACCGACACTCACAGCTGGTGGTGCGTTGGTGCGTCGTTTCCATTGTTTACTGGTAGTTACTGGTAAATATTTTTCAACCTAACGAAACTATTACCCGTTTAGAGGTCGACCCCCAATTTTTTGCAAAATAATTTGGTCTTAAAAACTCGAACTACACACAGGTATATACGGTAAATAAGGACATGGGGGGCCAGGGTTTTTTTTGGGGGGGCCACATATCTGGCCGGATTTTTAACATCCACGGCTATCTCTGTTACGTAACCCCCGCGTATGTTAAGGGCCGACTGTATACTGTATAATGTTCATAGGCCATGTAGGTGTACACCCAATGGTAAACATTAAGACAATTTTACAGTTAATGTGTTGTTTACATTTGTTTTCTTACTTTACCAAATTCCTGCCGATGCCATATTACAGTACAGTGACTCCAGTGGTCCCTCGGTTAACAAACACAATTCGTTCCAGAAGGTCGTTCGTTAACCAAAAATTTTGTTAACCGAAACCATTGTTTCAATGGGATTTTGGGTAATTGGTTCCAGCTCACCGAAAATTACATACAAACTAAAAATAAATGCAGTAAAGTACACTTAATTTGAGGTGTGCATGTAGAAGGTTCCTGGTTGATGATGATGATGATGGGAATTAGAATGGGGATGGAGGAGAAGGGAGAAGAGAAGGCATTGGGGTGGAAGAGAAGTCACCCCATGCCGCCATTTCACCCATAAAATTTTAGTTCACTTGGTGTAATTCAAGATAATTTTCTTTAAATCAACACTTCACTGCATTATATATTGTCAATATGTAAAATAAACTTCAGAATGACCAATAATTGTATTGTAAAAACATAAAAATAATTTATGTTCAAGAGAGAGTCAAGCAAGATGTTTCCTCCACTGAGCAGAGACACAAAGTGACGCCATTCTGGGGGAGTCAAGCGGCTGTTTGGCTCTTTAAAAACTAGTTCCCTGTACTGTACTTCAATTATGTTAAATAATTGTTAAAATGACTAAAAACTTTAAAATAAGACTTGGAAAATTATTGAATAGTACAACCTTCTTGATATTTACTCAAATGGTAACGAATTTAAGCCCTAAAACCGATTACTGTATTGGCGGACTAATACTACAGCTGGTGAGGAGGCAAAAGCAGGCAAAAACATGTTGGGAAAAGTTTGTAAAGAATTCGTTAACCGAAATTTTTTCGTTAACCGAAGTGAAGAATCCTATGTAAGGTAATTCGCTAACCGAAATTGTTTTAATCGATGCGTTCGTTAACCGAGGGATCAATGTAACCTTATGTAGAAGGATTGTTCAAATTACCTAGAATGATTTATTAACTTTTTTTTTTTTATATATATACAGGGATTAGCTCACTCGGGCACAGGTCACTGATCCACATCGGGGCCTGGGGGGCGAAAATGCAATAACAATAATAATAATAATAATAATAATAATAATAATAATAATAATAATACAGTAGTACCCCGATTTACGCGGTCAATTGAACCCACAGGGTACCGCGTAAAGTGAACAACAGAACATATGGGATTAATTCCAATAGAAACTGGCCCGACCCCCAAACTCCACTTTTTCCGACACAATATCTATGTTGTAGTAAAAATAACATCTAAATTTTGTGATGGTATGCTCACACAATTAATATTTAAGAGAAATACAGTCGCCAGGTTAATGTCCATTCAAATAATGGACTTAAATCCCCTCCCCCCTCTTCCCAGCTCACTGGCCCCTACCTCTCTGAGAAATGATTGGGTGACACACTAGATTTTAACGTTTAGTAATAAATAATACCTCAAACTAAAGTTAGGATAATTTATTTGACATTTCTGGATTCCTTGCAGGTCAGGGAATATTTTGAATGTAAACTTCATATATTTTGCACAAAAGATAAAATACTTGCTTTGTGTAAACCAAATTATTACATTAGATCTAAAATTTGTATGTCTAATGCAAAATCCATGATGTTTATATTCAAAATGATCATCATATTGTAAGAATTCCAGCAATGTAAATTATATTCTGGTCCAGTAATTTGTATGAATTTTATGAGCTAAAACAAATATCTTCAGTTAATAAAAAAAAAAATATTCTTCACGACACTATCTGTCAATCAAAGTACCCCAACTTGCCTCCACCCCTCTTCCAACCGCGCCAGATGGTCGGTCGGTCCCAACCCTCCCCCCCACCCCTCACCTTCCCTCCCTACCAGAGAAATGTTGGGTGAAAAAACTAATTTTAACTTTTAGTAATAAATAATACCTCAGACTAAAGTTAGGATAATATAATTGACATTGCTGGATTCCTTGTAAGACCAGGAATATTTTGAATATAAATGTCATATATTTTGCACAAAAGATAACATATTTACTCAGAGTAAACATTAGATCTAAAATTTGTATGTCTAATGCAAAATCTATGATGTTTATATTCAAAATGATCATAAAATTGTAAGAATTCCAGCAATGTAAATTATATTCTGGCCGGGTAATTTGTATGAATTTTATGAGCTAAAACAAATATCTTCAGTTAATAAAAAAAAATATATTCTTCACACCATGCCAGATGGTCGGTCGTCCCTCCCTACCAGATAAATGTGTGGGAAAACCAGAATATTTACCTTTTTAGTAATAAATAATACCTCAGACTAAAGTTAGGATTATATAAGTGACATTGCTGGATTCCTTGTAAGATCAGGAATATTTTGAATATAAATGTCATATATTTTGCACAAAAGATAACATATTTATTCAGAGTAAACATTAGATCTAAAATTTGTATGTCTAATGCAAAATCTATGATGTTTATATTCAAAATGATCATCAAATTGTAAGAATTCCAGCAATGTAAATTATATTCTGGCCGGGTAATTTGTATGAATTTTATGAGCTAAAACATATATCTTCATTAAATAAACAAAGAAATATTCTTCAAGGACACTATCTGTCAATCAAAATACTGGGCCCTAGCTGGGTCGGTCCCTCCCTCCCTCCCTACCAGAGAAGCTTTGGGAGAAAATAGTAATTTACATTTTTAGTAATAAATAATAACTCAGACTAAAGTTAGGATAATATAATTGACATTTCTGGATTCCTTGCAGGTCAGGGAATATTTTGAATGTAAACTTCATATATTTTGCACAAAAGATAAAATACTTGCTTTTTGTAAACCAAATTATTACATTTGATCTAAAATTTGTATGTCTAATGCAAAATCCATGATGTTTATATTCAAAATGATCATCATATTGTAAGAATTCCAGCAATGTAAATTATATTCTGGCCGGGTAATTTATGTGAATTTTATGAGCTAAATAAAAAAATATAAAATTATACTTCACGCGTATATGAGTAGATGCACCGCGGAAAGTGCAAGTCCGGTTCTGGCAAGGTACCGCGTAAATGAGAAACCGCGGAAAGTGAAACTGTGTAAAGCGGGGTAATACTGTACTTGTAATAATAATACTGTAATAATAATACATAGTAATAATAATTCAGAGAAGTAAAATTTATAATAAAAAATACAAAAATAAAAATAATAATAATAAGAATAATAATAAGAATAATAATAATAATAATAATAATAATAGTAGAATAATAATAAAAAGGAACCATAAAGAAATAAAATAATGGAAAAAAATATCAAAAGTGAGAAACAATATACAGTATGTATGTTGTGTTGTCAATAGTAAGAGAAGCAATTGAGACCCTGCAATTGTGTATAAGTGAGGCAGAAAGTCAGATTAACAACCAGGGACTTGGTCACAATTTATGTGATGCTATTTAGCGGCAGGGTCTACCATTAGACAATACATTATGCTTCCAATATCTTACCAGGCAGTAGTACTTCCCTGTTTGGTAGCTGCCTATTACTTACCTACAGAATTTCTTACCCAGCACATGGCTTGTTTGGTGTGTGATGAGTGAGAGTGTGTTGAATCTGTCATCTGTGCTGACTTGTGGTGGTGGTGAACCCAGGCTGTGTGGGTGTGTAGCCCAGTGCTCATCAACACTGGGATTACAAATCCCAACACAAAAAAAACCGTCATGAAGGTTGGCAAGAACTTGGGCTGCAGAAAAATATAATAGAAGAGTTAGGTAGCTAGAGTGATTGTTTTTATATACAGTACAGTACAGTACAGTATGAGAGCTTACCATAGCTTAACAATAATTTATTCTGAATATTTTGTGTACAGGTATTTCTAATACCCTATACTGTACTGGGTATATCATTTCACCACTTACGAGCTTGCTAACCATACGGGTGGTTGATTTGTTCTTTGTTATAACCTTCATTACCCAGTGCTGGATTAGAGGGGCTTGACCTGTATATTGATTATTTAGTAAGCTTGGCACTGGAAATAGGTCAGATGTGGAAATTTTCTGAATTTTTTTAAATATAATACAGTACAAGAAATAAGAACATAAGAATGGAGGAAACTGCAGCAGTCCCATTTACACTCAATCCCTATCGCTCATATATCCGTCCAACCTATATTTGAAGCTATCCAGCGTGTTCAAGTTAACTCTTTAGGTGCGTAATTAAATTTCGCGCCGGTTCCTGAAAAGTGTCAATTATCCTGCCAAAAATGAATTTCATATAATCACATTTTCTATATGTTTTTCCTAGAGAACTTTTAGTATATTTTCCAAATCTGGAACAAAAATTCACATATGTGTGCAAATTTTAGAGAAAAAATGACATTTATACCCAAAAATGCAGGAAATTGGTATAAATCAATGTCTGGTATATAGCAAATAAATTTAATCAATTTGGTTACTAAACAGCAAATTTAGATATGTATTACATATTCAGATAATATCAAACAAAATAGTACAAAAATAAGCTATATTGCATTCAGGAAATACTCCTATACCTCAATACATAATATGTCCGCATGTCGTCTCATTTGGGGAAGTTTTTTCAAGGCCGTGGGATATCCCCGCTTGTCGCATTTAATTAATATAATATTTTGGGCGGGTTTACCCGCATGTCGCATCCAAAGGGTTAAGGATGATGTTTGGTAACTTATTCCACTGCTCTTTTTCCAAACCAGTGTATACTTATCTGGCACCTACATTTAAATTTGTCTAATTTAAAACCATTGCAACGAGTTCATTCCTGGTTGGATAATTTAAGTACCTTTGTTATTTCACCTTTACGGTCAACCCTCGCTTTACGCGGTCCCACTTAACGCGTTTCCACGTTTACACGGTACCCTGCCGAAACCGGAATGCTCACTTTCCGCGGTGCGTGTACCCCTTTACGCGGAGAGCGGCTGGGGCGGTCCTCTCGCGCCGCGCCATTTTTGGATCCAAACCTCCCGCCCTCTCCTGCCATCCGCCATGTTGTGTAAGCGGCGTGAGTAGGTTGTGCAGTGTATGTCTTTGTTGCGTTATCGGTGACGTCATATGACGTAGCGGACTGTGATTGGACAAAGCATCTTTACCTCCCTCCCTGCTAGCTGTGATTGGTTTAATGTAGTACTATGACGTGCCCCGCCGCGGGAGCGTTCAAGCCCCTTGACCTACCGTGTCAGTTACACCCCTCCTGGCTACACCGTGTATATCGGTATCCATTGTTCCATAAGAATGGCTTCCACCGGACCACCACCACCACCACCACCACAAAGAAACCTTGCATTATCTGGACCCAGCCACCCTAAGCCAAAGAAGACACGACGTTCCTTAAGCTACGAAATTAAATATAAGATCATACAAGAGTTGGAGAAAGGAACAAGACAGGTTGATCTTGCGCGCCAGCATGGTGTTAACGAGTCTACGATCTGGACAATTAAGAAGGATGCAGCCAAGATAAAGGAGCACATGAACATCACAAAGTCTACAGGTGCTTCTATGATCAAGTATTGCCATAACCAGGTGCTTCTCAAGACAGAAAAATTACTTGTGAGCTACTTGGTGCGTCAGGCGCGACGGAACATGGCGGTGGACACGCGCTCAGTTAAGGAGTACGCACGTGAACTGTATGCTGCAGTGTCACGAAAGATGGGAATTACAGAGCCCAAACCCTTTAATGCTTCCTCTGGGTGGTTACAGAGGTTTAAGAAGAGAAACAAGATCACCAATATCAACATTGGTGGTAAAGAAGCTAGTGCTGACCGTGTTGCGGCTAGGGAATTTCCTCCGTTTTTACGTGAGATTATGGAGGAAGGACAGTACACCGACGACCAGGTGTTTAACATGGACGAATCTGGTCTTTTTTGGAAAAAGCTACCTTCCAAGACCTTTGTTGTGAAGAGTGCCAGCAAGTGTCGGGGCCGGAAGTTACAGAAGGAGCGCATCACCGTCTTGTTTACCACCAATGCCTCCGGTACCTGTAAGCTCAAGTTATTGGTGATCCACACAGCACGCAAGCCGCACGCCTACAAGAGCATGGACATGACCAAGCTAAATGTCCACTGGCTGACCGCACGTAAGGCGTGGATGTTCTCTACACTGTCCCTCTCCTGGTTTGATGACTGTTTCGTTCCCGATGTGAAGAAATTCTGTGAGCAACATAATGTGCCATTCAAGATTTTGTTGCTGCTGGACAACGCACCAGGACACTCACCCCTACTGTTAGATCGTCACCCCAATGTAAAAGTGGTCTTCCTTCCTCCCAACACTACATCTATATTACAGCCCATGGACCAAGAATTGATCTGTAATGTAAAAGCTGCATTCTCTGCTAAAAAATTCAACCTCCTGAACGACTACACCAACACCAAGGAAGAGTTGCGTAACCTGAGTGACACCAACACCGATAGCAAGAGCGAAGACGACGAGAATCAACAGTTGGCAGAGCAAGAAGTACTTTTAAAACAATTCTGGAGAACATTCAACGTCAAGAAAGCTGTGGACTTCTTGGTGGAGGCATGGGATCAGCTGTCTGTAGCAACTGTTCGTCACGCATGGAGACATGTGTTGCAAGGCATTCCAGGTGTTAGGCAGAGTAAATCTGTGACTGGTGAGGTTCAGACTGTTGCAGTAGCAGTGGACCTTGCCAGAGAAGCTGCGCAGAGTGTTACAGTTGCAGGCTTCTCCGAGACCACCAACGACGACATCCTGGAGGTGATAAGGGATCCTGATGTGACTACCGACGAGATGGTAGATGATGATGACGTCAGTGAAGAGGCAGGTGGTGCGTCATCCCAAGAAGAACGCCGCTTATCCCATAGTAATGTTAGGGGTGCAATCGAGTGTATTGAGAAAGTCAAGCTCCTCCTTTCCGACGACCATGACGCAAACAGGTATGAAATCTTCACTACCCAGCTGTTGCAGACTATGGAGCCCTACATCAAGGTTTATCACGACAACATAAACACCAGCCGTCAGCAAAGCATAACAGAGTTCTTCGCCCGCAACCCACCACAGCCAGCCCAAGCCAGTGATAGTGACAGAGGTAGAGACAGTGATGATGACTTTGAGGGATTTGTCAGGGAGGCACTAGTAAGTGTGGATGACACCGATGAAGACTCACCTGAGGGCCAGTAGCCTGCCCTCTGCCTCGGAACCAGCCTCCATTCCCCTACGCCAACCCATCTCTTCTACTAACGTAAGTGTTAACCCCAACCTTGTTTTTTTCTAACCTAACCTTCAGTTTATTCTTCTCTTATTGACTGTTCCCTTCTATATTGTGTGTGGGTGAATACCATCATAAAGTTAAGATGTTATTTTTAGTAAAACGTACGTAGTGTGTCGGGAAAAAGTGGAGTTTGGGGGTCGGCCCGGTCTCTATTTCAATTAATCCCATATGTTATGTTGTTCACTTTAACCGTTTCTCACTTTACGCGTTTCTCACTTTACGCGGGCCGCCGTGGGTTGAATTAACCGCGTAAAGTGAGGGTTCACTGTATTTAACCCTGACTTCCATTTATACACCTCAGTCATATTGCCCCTCACTCTACGTCTCTCAAAGGAATACAAATTCAGATGCTTTAATCTGTCTCTGTAGTCAAGGTTCCTAATTCCTGGAATTAGTCTTGTCATCCTTCTCTGTATGCTTTCTAGGGATTCTATATTCATTCTGTAGTACGGTGACCAAAACTGAACTGCACAATCCAGGTGAGGTCTCACAAGTGCAAGATATAGTTTATGATAACACAACATACATACAGTCAACCCTCGCTTTACGCGGTCCCACGTTCCGCGTTTCCACGTTTACGCGGTACCCTGCCGAAACCGGAATGCTCACATTCCGCGGTGCGTGTACTCCTTTACGCGGAGAGCGGCTGGCGAGCCGCGCCATTTTTGGATCCAAACCTCCCGCCATCTCTCCCGCCCTCTCCCGCCATCCGCCATGTTGTGTAAGCGGCGCGAGCAGGGTGCGCACAAGGTCGCCCAGTCATCAAAACATTACCGAGTTTTTCACCCGCCACCCACCACAGCCGGCCCAAGTCAGTGATAGTGATAATGATAGTGAGGATATGGACTTATATGGACTTTGAGGGGTTTGACAAAGAGGCCCTGCAAGCCACTGTGGTGGATAGTGATACAATTGATACAAGTGATACAGGTGAGGGCCAATAATCTGCCCTCTGCCTTGGAACCAACCCCCCATCCCCCAACCCCCCATCCCCGTGTGCCCAGCCATCTTTTCTACTAATGTAAGTGTTAAAAATCCTAATATTTTTTATATTTCTCTTAATTATTAATTGTGTGTGCATACCATCATAAAATTAAGAAGTAATTTTTACTACAACATAGGTATTGTGTCTGAAAAAGTGGAGTTTGGGGGTTGGCCCAATATCTATTTCAATTAATCCCATATGTTATGTTGTTCACTTTATGCGTTTCTCACTTTACTCGGGCCTTTGGGTTGAATTAACCGTGTAAAGTGAGGGTTCACTGTATAACGTTTCTCATGATTGATTGATTTTTTTTTTTTTATTATTATTATTATTATCATTATTATATTAATATTACGTATATTATATCTTTATTTAATATTTTTTATAATTTATTATTATTATTAATAATATTATTATTGTATTATTATTTATTTTATTATTATTTTTATTATTATTATTATTATCATTATTAATATTATTATTATTATTATTATTATTAT